AGAATTAAGAGGGTGGTTGCTGCTAAACATCCTAAAATGCACAGGGCAGCCTAAATGATCCAAAATGATCCAGCCTATACTGTTCATAGTGTGGAGGTTGAAAAACCCTGTTGTAGGATGGTGGTTCACAAAGCATCAGCATCACCTAGAAACTTGGTAGGAATCTCTAAGAAATATACATAGGAGTGGAATTGCTAGTTATAAAATACGTAGGGATTCACATTAATAAGATTTTGCCAATTTTCCCATTTTATTGTGGGGTTGTGTTTCTTTATCTTTCTATATTTTGTTTATATGTTATCTGTTGATTATTGAGGAAGAGGGGGAAAAAAGTAGTCCCTGATACTCAGAAGCTGACCTGGCACTCACAGCTTGGCCATGATATTATTCTGTTGAACATAACAATTTCAGTCTCATAGAATACCAAGCTGAGATAAAAGTACTCTGAGATCATAATAAAATGAGACAAAATAAGGCCACTTCATAATATTATCTAAGCATAGGCAAAAACAAGGTCTTTGTGTCACCCATAAAATAACAGACTATCTTTTTTTCTGGATAAAATGAGTAAAATCTACTTTTTTACTATCATGTAGGGAAGAAAAAAATACCTTTTGCTTCTGCCCTTCTAGGTTCTTCACTGGGGCCTCTGTAAGAAAAGACAGATTAACAAGAGAAAAGCATGCAAATTTATTCAATGTAAGTTGTATATTACATGGGAGCCTTCATAAGGACATGAAGAATGGAAGAAATTATTAAACCTGAGCATTTTAATGCTAGGTTTGATGGAGAATGAAAAGTCATAGGCAAATGTAATAATACACAGGAAACGAGCTAAGTGTAGGCATAGCTAAGCTGCACTGGGGAGACCTTCGCACTCCTTGTTTGTTCAGATTTTTTATTTGGAGATAAGGATGTTTCTTTCCTTTGAGTACAGGGAGAACACTTCTCACATAGGGTCTTATGACCTGTTTCATGGGAGAAGGACTGGGGAAGGCAAAGGTCAGAGACTCCTCCAGTTCCTTCAGCTTAAAATATTTAATTTCTAAATATTTAAATTTTAATAATTTAATTAAAGTGCCATAGCTTGGGGTAGCATGTCCTAAACTCCATCAATAGAATTACCCTTGCTTTCTGAAAACTCCCAAACTATGGGGAACCAAACCTCCCTTAGACCTTCCCCCAAATGCTGACACTGTCTTAATGAGACATCCCATGATGTGTGTTTGCTCTTGCTCAGTAAGCATAAATTCGGCTTCTTCAACCACAAATGTCCCTGTGTCTCTAGCTGAAGGGCACATTTCAGAGATCTTCACGGTCTTTATTATGCCCTTTGGTGAGCATCACTTCTTTTTTCTTTCCTCTTTTTTTTGCCTAGTGAGCACCACTTCCTAATTTTAGTTCGTTTTTAATTTTTGCCTTCATGATTAGTGCTTTTTGTGTTATATTTAAGAAATCCAGCCAGGATGGTGGCTCATGCCTGTAATCCCAGCACTTTGGGAGGCTGAGGTGGGTGGATCATGAGATCAGAAGATTGAGTCCGGGGAGGTTGGGGAGGGATAACTTGGGGAGAAATGCCAGATATAGGTGACGGAGGATGGAGGCAGCAAATCACCTTGCCATGTATGTACCTATGCAACAATCCTGCACGATCTGCACATGTACCCCAGAACCTGAAGTATAATAATAATAATAGAAATATATATATAAAAAGAACAACAACAACAACAACAACAAAAAAGATCGAGACCATCCTGGCCAGCATGGTGAAATCCCATCTCTACTAAAAATACAAAAATTAGGCCAGGTGTGGTGGCTCATGCCTGTAATCCCAGCACTTTGGGAGTCTGAGGCAGGTGGATCCTGAGGTCAGGAGTTCGAGACCAGCCTGACCAACATGGTGAAACCCTGTCTCTACTAAAAATACAAAAAAATTAGTTGGATGTGGTGGCGTGTGCCTGTAATCCCAGCTACTCAGAATCGCATGAACCTGGGAGGCAGAGGTTACAGTGAGCCAAGATGGAGCCACTGCACTCCAGCCTGGGCTACAGACTGAGACTCTGTCTCAAATAAAAAAAAATATATACAAAAATTAGCTGGGTGTGGTGGTGCATGCCTGTAGTCCCAGATACTCAGGAGGCTGAGGCAGCAGAATCGCTTGAACCCGGGAGGCAGAGGTTGCAGTGAACCAATATCATGCTACTGTACTCCAGCCTGACAAAAGAGTGAGATTCCATCTCAAAACAAAAAAGAAAAATCCTTTATTACTCTAGTATTTTTTAAGTTTCCAATTTCTATGTCTTTGGTTCACCTTCATTTTTGTGTATGACACCATATCCAGGTAGAGATACAATCTTATTTTTTCCATATGGTAACCATTTCTCCCAGCACCACGTATAGCCATTTCTTTCTTTGCATTCCCTCACCTTCATGCAGAACTACTTTTGCATCTATCAAATTTCTATCTATCCATGAGTGAGACTAGAGCTTTTCGTTTTTAAAAATTTAATAAGAAATACAGTTTAAGACTTTAAGATTGAGTTAGTGTTTAGGTTTGTGAAATTCTGTTTAAATAAGTACCTAAATCATGAGACAGTGGACAAAAATTAATGATGCTTTAAATTGGTGTCACTTGATGGAATGATTCTGTAATAAAACTTACCAAGCTTTTTTTTTTTTTTTTTTTGAGACGGAGTTTTGCTCTTGTTACCCAGGCTGGAGTGCAATGGCGCAATCTTGGCTCACTGCAACCTCCGCCTCCTGGGCTCAGGCAATTCTCCTGCCTCAGCCTCCTGAGTAGCTGGGATTACAGGCATGCGCCACCATGCCCAGCTAATTTTTTGTATCTTTAGTAGAGACGGGGTTTTACCATGTTGACCAGGATGGTCTCGATATCTTGACCTTGTGGATCCACCCGCCTCAGCCTCCCAAAGGGCTGGGATTACAGGCTTGAGCCACCGCACCCGGCCAAAACTTACCAAGTTTTTAAGATATAATTCATTCAGAGTCTAAAAGTTTAGCAAGATCATGGTAGTAAGGAGAATAATTTCACTGCAGAGATGTTTATGTTTTTAGCAAAGTAATTGCTAACAGATTTTCCTGAAATCCCCAACAGCACAAAATATCCTTTATATTATTTTTCATTAATATATAATCTCACTTATATTTCTATATAGTGGGAGAACCGGGACTTTAACATTTTATATGAAACAAATGCATAAACCCTGTCTTTTGAAGACATGTAAGATTTGGAAACAGTATGGTATAAGTGGTAATAGAACAAAAGGGGGAAAATGACAAAAGCAATGTAAAGAAATCCATGGGATTCGAGCTTAAAGGGACAAGGGAAAGGAAGTCTAGGATGACTCCCAGTATTCAAAGTTACCAGAAGCGGCTGGGCAGGATGGCTCATGCCTGTAATCCCAGCACTTTGGGAGGCCGAGGTGGGTGGATCACGAGGTCAGGAGTTCGAGACCAGCCTGACCAACATGGTGAAACCTCGTCTCTAGTAAAAATACAAAAATTACCGGGCATGGTGATACATGCCTGTAATCCTGGGAAGCAGAGGTTGCAGTGAGCCAAGATCACACCATTGCACTCCAGTCTGGGCAAAAAGAATGAAACTCTGTCTCAAAAAAAAAAAAACCCCAAAAACAAAGTTACTAAAAGCTTGAGATGATGAACTCCTAAAGTAGTGAGGGTGCCCTGAGTGGGGAAAAAGATTGTTTTCTCTTCAAGTCTGTTGCTTCTTATCTTTCCTTAAGGAATTTCTAAGGAGCTTTGAAATTTGTGCGAAAGAAAAGCCTCCAAAAGTAAATAAGTTTAAAATCCAGGATTATGTATTATACTTTCAGATTTCCTGAAAGGCCCAGTTTCTCTGTTAAAAAAAAAAAAAAAGTTAAAAATAAAAAGTCCCAAGTGGCAAGTAACTTGCATGTACCTAAATGCTAAATGTTGTATACATTCACTGTTTTAGCATCACATCCCAGTAATTTATAAACTGGGTGTACAGAAAACAGCCTGGAGTAAAAACCACTGGAATGGGAGTTACGAGATCAGGATTATAATGATGGTCTGCTACTAATTTATACGAAAATGGTTTCAGTGTATAGGTTTCAGATTCCTTAAATATGTAGAATAAGACTACATAATCTTCAAGCTTCTCTGCCGCGCCAAAGTTCAGATTCTACTTAAGCAGTTGTGGAATGTGTCAGTGTTAATTCCAATTTACCCTACTCCTGATTTGTAGCAAAGCATTTGTCAAATGAATCATAAGGTCGTTTCTCCCCAGTTTTCAAACTTTGGATTAAACCTACATAAGTGCTTTTGGCAGCCTTACAGTTGATAGGATTTGCAGAATACAGTAGCTTAGACGAGCTCCCATATGTGATGTGAACAAAAGTTCTCTGAAGAGGAATTTGGAAGGAAGCAACTATTTCAGTGAATAGTTTGCAAACTAGGGAGTTGAAGCCTTAGGTATAAAACAAAGGTGCATTCCAGAGAACAAAGGGAGGGTCTGGGTTTTGTAGCATAAGTTTCTGCTCAGGTTCCCAATCAGGTCTGTTTGTACAAATGAAGGATTGAACTGCACTTAGTTCTGATTGGCTGATACAGCTGAGCCCCGATTGGTTGAGACAGGTAAGCCCTAGAAGTCCCATCACTGAACAGAGGTGTGTGTTTGGTGGGAATGCAGAGTCCATGTGTGACTTCTAGTCGGTAAATGGCTACGTGGCTCTATTTTAAATTTAGACCCAGTTAGTCACTCTGGATCTTGACGGCTTGGCTCTTTCAGGTTCACATTTGTTCACAGTCTGTATAATCAAGAAATTTCCAAACAGAACAACTGGTGCTAATTCTTAAGAGCCTCGGGCAGAACACACAGACAAAACACCGCACCGATGGCGTATGGGCGTTGCACCTGCTCCTCATGGGCTGCTTTCCCGAGCCTTAAGCCCACAGCCCTCCTTAGCATTATCAGGCTTGAACTGCTTTTTTTTCTTAAGCAGAGGATATGGGCCTACTTGTTTGAACATTCGCTCAGACCGTAAGGAATAAGGTAACCCCAAGAATTGGCATCACAGTCCGGCCTGGGCGCCTAGAGAGGAGGGGGGGGTGGTGGCGATGGAGCACGCTGGAAACCCAGGGCTCCCGGCGGGTCTGACCCGGAAGGGGTGGTGCCTGGTAACCCCAGCTTCCCTAGCAACCAAGCAGTGGCAAGCAGCAGCCACCCGAGCTCTCCCCTTCCTCCGCTCCCGGGATGCCTCTTCAAGTTAGCGATTACAGCTGGCAGCAGACGAAGACTGCGGTCTTTCTCTCTCTGCCCCTCAAAGGCGTGTGCGTCAGAGACACGGACGTGTTCTGCACGGAAAACTATCTGAAGGTAAGAATGCAAGTCTTGCCTGCTGGTCTCCCGGCGTGTAGTACGAAGTTTCTGCAAGAGCGCGGCTGGGCCTGAGCAACAGGTTCATCTTTGCAGATAAAGGTCCTAAATTTTGAATCCTGTTAAAAAAATGAATCCCATACAGGTGACACATCATCAGTAGACACATCATCAGATCAGATCAGAGATTACTTTTACTAATCTTTCACTACCTGGAACAACTTTATTGGGCCCTTTGGAAAGTTATTTTACCTTTTTCATGTATTTCTTAATACGCGTGATTAATTTGTGCAACTAACTTAGTTTCCGTTTTCACCCTTTTGCATAGGTCAACTTTCCTCCATTTTTATTTGAAGCATTTCTTTATGCTCCCATAGACGATGAGAACAGCAAAGCAAAGATTGGGAATGACACCATTGTCTTCACCTTGTATAAAAAAGAAGCGGCCATGTGGGAGACCCTTTCTGTGACAGGCGGTAAGTTCTTTATTAAAAGATGTTCATCTGGTTGTACCTTTTTTGTTTCAGACCTTATAAAAAATTCTCTTTTGAAACACCTATATTATTGTGTTGGGGAAAATATACTTTGTTTTTTTTTTTTTGAGTCTGACTCTGTCACCCAGGCAGGAGTGCAGTAACCAGATCTCGGCTCACTGCAACCTCTGCCCACCGGGTTCAAATGATTCTCCCACTTCAGCCTCCCAACTATCTGGGATTAAAGGTGCCCACCACCTCTCTGGCTAATTTTTTTTATTTTTATTTTTAGTAGAGTGTTTTGCCATGTTGGCCAGGCTGGTCTCAAACTCCCGACCTGAAGTGATCCACCCACCTCAACCTCCCAAAGTGCTGGGATTACAGGTGTGGGCCACTGTACCTGGCCAGATAGACTTTCCTTTTACTCTACAAGGTTTGATGGCTGGGTCCATGAAATAAGCTAACAACAGGAGGATTGACAGAATAAAATGTATAGAAACTTACTAATTTTTAATATTAGTGCTTGGGGGCATTACAGGGAAAAAAGTGAATAGCCCCCAAAGCATTGAGATTTGAGAGCTTAGGGACTCTCATTAGGGGAAGGGAGAGGGGATATAAGCCACTTAGAACAGTAAATTATTTTTAGGAAAGATGAATGGGTCCTTTAGAAGAATAGATAGGAGATATGACAGTTTGTAACAAAATTTGTCAGTGTGTGGTGTTGACTTGTAGTCTCTTCTTTTGGGAGAATAGTCAATATTCCCTGGTTAATGAAACTCCAGTGGAAGGGATTTATGACACTTGAGTTCCTTTTGGAAAATCTAGTTTTAGGCAGTTAAGAGTTCAGAGAAAACCTCTGCCTGTATTTGCTGTTTTTCAAGTGCCTTTAACTCAAAATGATCAATATATCAAAGCAGCATATTTTGGATGGCATATCCTGAACTCTTTCAATTGCTCTTTTAAGAAAAAACAAAAGGCTTATGAGCCTAATTTAAATGGTATAGTGCTTCAGCAGCCATTTATATAAGCCTAAATGCTGAATTAGTCAAAGTTAGAGCACATTAAAGATTATATCTTAAGGGTAAGCCCTGCTGATATATAGCCTTTATTGAGTACTTAACCTTACATTTAGGTGTTAACACGCCTGTAATTCCATGAAACAACCTGTCACTTAGGTATTATTACCCTTTTTTCTTTTTACAGGGGAAGCTACTGGCACACAGAAAGTTTTGAGTAATTGGCAAACTCACACAGCTAGTAACTGTCAGGCTGGAATTAGAGCCTTAGCAGTTTCACTCTAGAGCAGATGTTCCCAATCCTGGCTACATATTTGAATCAATGATGGAATTTTAAAATAATATGGATCTCGGCTGGGTGCAGTGGCTCATGCCTGTAATCCCAGCACTTTGGGAGGCCGAGGCAGAAGGATCACTTGAGATCAGGAATTTGAGACCAGCCTGACCAACATGGTGAAACTCCATCTCTACTAAAAATAGAAAAATTAGCCAGATATGGTGGTGGGCGCCTGTAATCCCAACTACTTGGGAGGCTGAGGCTGGAGAATCACTTGAACCTGGAAGGTGGAGGTTGCAGTGAGCCAAGATCGTGCCATTGCACTCCAGTCTAGGCAACAGAGCAAGACTCCATCTCAATAATAATAATAATAATAATAATAATAATAATAATACGGACCTCGGAAATCACCCTAAACCAGTCAAATCAGTTTCTGGGAACAGGACTCAGGTGTTGGTAGTTTTTAAAAAGCTTTCCAGGAATTATAGTGTGCAGCCAAAGTTGAAATCTCCAGTTTTTGGTTTTTTTGTTGTTGTTGTTGTATTTTGAGAGATGGAGTCTCACTCTGTTGCCAGGCTGGAGTGCAATGGCACAATCTCAGGTCACTGCATCCTCTGCCTCCCTGGTTCAAGTGATTCTCCTGGATCACAGGCGCATACCACCATGTCCAGTTAGTTTTTTTTTTTTTTTTGGTAGAGATAGGGTTTCACTGTTATTTTGGCCAGGCTGGTCTCGAACTCCTGATCTCAAGTGATCTGCCCGCTTTGACCTCCCAAAGTGCTGGGATTACAGGCATGAGCCACTGTGCCTGGCCTGAAATCCCCAGTTTTAAAGCTAGTTGTCTGTAGTCTCACTGAGCTACTTCTAGGTAGTTTGTGCTGATAGTCAGCTTTGATAGTAATTGCCCTCTACTGATTTTGCTCTGTTTTCCTCCTTCCATCTTTAGTTGTCATGCTTTATAATACTCTATATTTACTGCCTGGTATTTCTTTCTTTTTTTTTTTTTTTAAATTTTGGGGATAAGATCTCACTCTGTCACCAACAGTGCATTGCAGGGGTGTTACCATAGCTCATTGTAACCTCAAACTCCTAGGTTCCAGCAATTCTCCTGCCTCGATCTCCTGAGTAGCTGGGATTACAAGTGTGCAACACCACACCTAGTTAATTATTTCTATTTTTGTAGAGACAGAGTCTCACTATGTTGCCCGACTGATCTTGAATTCCTAGGCTCAAGTGATCTTCCCACTTTGGCCTCCCAAAATGCTGGAATTTCAGGCATGAGCCACTGCACCCAGCCTACTACCTGGAATTTCTTATTTCTTTTTTTTTTCTTTTGTTTTTGAGATGGAGTCTCACTCTGTCACCCAGTCTGGAGTTCAGTGGCACGATCTTGACTCACCACAACCTCTGCCTTCTGGGTTCAAGCAATTCTGCCTTAGCCTCAAGAGTAGCTGGGATTACAGGTGCCTGCCACTGTGTCCGGCTAATTTTTTATTTTTAGTAGAGAGGGGGTTTCACCATGTTGGCCAGGCTGGGCCTTTTGGCATTAAGCCTTGAGTATGGACTCCTGAGGGTAGAAGGCTTTCTTGGTATCTTACAGTGGAATTTAATTTTTAATTTCCAAGGCAAAGGTAGAATTTATTTTTCTAAGATAGGGTATTCAGCTCAGAGAATACTGGTTAAGATAGTTTAACATAGCCAGTTTACTTAACTTTTTTTTAGTGAGTCCCAGATTATCTAAAGAATTTTAAAGAATCAGATTCCTGGCTGGGCAAGGTGGCTCATGCCTGTAATCTCAGCACTTTTGGAGGAAGTAGATGGATCATCTGAGGTCAGGCGTTTGATACCAGCTTGGCCACATGGTAAAATCCCTTCTCTACTAAAAATACAAAAATTAGTCAGACATGGTGGCAGGTGCCTGTAATCCCAGCTACTAGGGAGGCCAAGGCAGGAGAAACACTTGAACCCAGGAGGTGGAGGTTGCTATGAGCAGAGATCTCACCATTGCAGTCCAGCCTGGGCAACAGAGCAAGACTCCATCTCAAAAAAAAAAAAAAAAAAAAAAAAGAAAGAAAAAAAGAAAAAACCCACAAATAACTAATTTAAATCACAATGAATGAACATCGATTCTACTTCAGAAACCGGGTTTGAGATTCCTGTAGAAATCAAACTCAGTTTTCCCAAGTATAGTGGCTCATGCCTAAAGTAATCTCAGCACTTTAGGAGGCCAAGGTGAGAGGATCATTTGAGCCCAGGAAGTCAGGACCAGCCTGGGCAACATAGGGACACTTCACCTCTATTAAAAAAAAAAAAAAATTAGCTAGGCATGGCAGCATGTGCCTATAGTCCCAGCTACTTATGGGGCTGAGGTTGGGAGGATCACTTGAGCCCAAGAATTGGAGGCAGCAGTGAGCCTTGCTCACACTGCTGCACTCAAATCTGCGTGACAGTACATGACCCTGTCTCAAAAAAAAAGAACTCAAACTCAGTTTTACTGGCAATTCAGTGGGATTATTTATTTAACAATTTTTTTCACATAATATATTGTGGAACTCCAGTTTATATACCAAGACTATCTGCCTCATTATTCAAACTCTAATTTTCCTTATTTTTTCTAGAAATTCCTTCTTGATACACTCTTTATTTCTGTTAGATGTGGAGTATTTAATTTGGGAAGTTAATGCTCTTCCAGTTACTTCTGTCCCTGAAGCTGACTCAGCTGTCTGCCTTCCTGTTTTTAAACAGGAGGAGGGAGGAGAAGAGGCTTCAGACCTACTTTCAGTCCTACTTCTTAGCTAAGATTCTAGATGAATAAAATTATAGATTTTTACTTACCTCTAACTGAAGTTTAAGATTCTCTTTAATTGTGAAGATAGGCAAACAATAGTAGTATCTTAGTCTGGGCACGATCACAAAATACCATAAACTGGGAAGCTTATAAACAACAGAAATTTATTTCTCACAGTCGTGTAGGCTGGGAAGTCCAGATCAAGGTGCTGGTAGATTTGGTATGCAGTGAGAGCCCACTTTCCTATAGATGGCACCTTCTTACTATGACTTCGCATGGTGGAAGAGACAAGTCTGCTTTCTGGGGCCTTCTTTATAAGAATACTACCACTCAAAAGGCCTCACCTCCAAATGCCATCACAGTAAGGGCCGGGATTTTAACCTGTGAGTTTTAGGGAGGCAAAACATTCAGACAATAGCAAGTAGTATCAACAAAAAAAAAATATGTTCATATCAGAGATACCTCTTTTATACCTATTACTACTTTGAAATTCCAGTATCAGACTTGCTACTATATATTAACGTATTAATAAAGAAGCACATAATGTATCACAGTTTGAGCGAGTGCAGTGGCTCACGCCTGTAATCCCAGCACTTTGGGAGGCCAAGGCGGGTGGATCACGAGGTCAGGAAATCAAGACCATCCTGGCCAACATGGTGAAACCCTGTCTCTACTAAATATGCAACAATTAGCAGGGTGTGGTGGTGTGTGTCTGTAGTCTCAGCTACTTGGCAGGCTGAGGAAGGAGAATCACTTGAACCTGAGAGGTGGGTAGTGAGCCGAGATCATGCCATTGCACTCCAGCCTGGGCGACAGAGTGAGACTCTGTCTCAAAAAAAAAAATTTTTTTTAAATTGTATATCACAGTTTTATTTTTTAAATGTTTTATAAGTGTTTTAATATAACTGTTTCTTTATAGTCCTATATATTTTATTTCATACATTTTAAAACCTAATGAAAGGGTCTGTGAGGATTCACTATTCTGCCAAGGGGTTTGCTGCACAAAGAAAGTTCAGAACCCATGCCTGGGGTATGATTCATCCCTCTACCCACCCCTTATCTACTCGTCCCCACTTTACTTACCTTCCCCTCATGTTTTTCCTCTCTCCTTTTTTTCTGCTCAAAGGCTAGATCTTTTCCCTCAGGCCCTGATCCTTCCTTCTATAAGATAATTTACCCACTAATGGATTACAGCCTGCAGTTTGTGAAACATTGAGCCACGTTGAATATAAAGATAACTGTGATGCCTGGCACAGTGACTCATGGCTGTAATTCCAGCACTTGGGGAGACCAAGGTAGGAGCATTGCTTGAGCTTAGGAGTTCAAGACCAGTCTGGGCAATATAGTGAGACCTTGTCTCTACAAAAAATTTAAAAATTAGCTGGATGTAGTAGCACACACCTATAGTCCCAGCTACTCAGGAGGCTGAGGTGGGAAGATTGCATGAGCCTAGGGGGTTAAGATTGCAATGAGCTTTGATTGCTCCACTGCACTCCAGTCTGCATGACAGAGACCTTGTCTCAGAAAAATAAACAGACAAACTGTGAATGGTAAGATGTTTTATGTATATACATATATATATATGTGTGTGTGTGTGTATGTATATAAAAAAATTTTCATGCTACTTTATAATTTTTCCTAGGGCTGTTCTTGTACTTTCATTATGTGTAAGTTACTGCTTTATATTTTTGAAGGTGATTGATCATTTTAGGTGATCTCAACTCATCTTTCCTAGGAGACCTTAGAGTGCTGATTTATAGTGATCAGGTTTATAAGCAAATAGCCCTAGTCTCTCAACAGAGAAGGAAGAGGATAAATGTGTCTTTCACCTTTACTCTCTCCCTCTCATTACCTGCCTATTGTGTCCCTCCACCTTCCCTTCTTCTTCCTCTCCATCTCCTTCATTCTCTAGTCTTTCATTATTATGACAGTTAATTGCTTACTTTTAATTATTAGCTTCTTGGCCAGTTTAATATTGAAAAATGTTTTCTATGCTCCTTGTGAAGTTGGGTCAAAAGAAATCTCATCCTGGATCAGTTTATTTAAGTAGATTTTCTCATAAGTAAAGCAAATTTATCATAATTCTAATTCATCAACATTCCTTACATTTTAGTTGACAAAGAGATGATGCAAAGGATCAGAGAAAAATCTATTTTACAAGCACAAGAGAGAGCAAAGGCAGCTACAGAAGCAAAAGCTGCAGCAAAGCGGGAAGATCAAAAATATGCACTAAGTGTCATGATGAAGGTAAGCTGCAGATTGACAGGTGAGTCCTCTAAAGAGATAATAGTAGGCTATGTGAAGATAGTGAGTTTCAGCTACTGGACTTCCTCAGCATTTTCTTCATACTTTGTTTATAGGACTTACTGTGTTTTTTAGGCTATCTGCTATTTATATTTGTTCTTGAAAATCTGAATGAAGGTCAAAGGTGTAAAAGTTGGACAGCTGTTTTAGGGAGAGGGTTCTATTTCTAAGGGAGTAAAAATCATAAAGCTTCCATGGTGCAAGTGTTTTACTTCTTTTTAAATCTTGAAATAATGGACATGATTGTGTAAAACCAGAAAGGCATATTTTAAACACTATTAACTATTTTTAACTGTTAAGTGTTTTAAGTGAAAGTTTTAATCAGCGATATATTTTTTGAGGTATAATTTACATTCCATATAGTTTACCCATTTAAAGTGTACAATTAAATAGTTTTTAGTACTTTTGGAGTTGTGTAACCATCACTACAGTCAATGTGAGAACTTTTCATCACCGCCTAAAATACACCAATCTCCATTAGCAGTCAGTCCCTGTTTTCCCCAATACCCAGTCCTAGGCAACTGCTAATCTACTTTCCGTCTCAGTAGAGTTACCTATTTTGACGAGTTTATACAAAAAGTTTCTTATCTCAAATTCCCATTTTGACATCTTGAAATGACTAAGGAATCTATAATACATATTATCCAATCAAGATTTTTATGGACTGTTTTTTTAGATTTTTGTGACTAAGATGGTTTTTTATTATCAACAGTTCATGATTCCAAAGATTTCTCCACTTCTTTTATTACTTCAACTTAACTTTTATGTATAGTTATGGTTATATTCTATTTTTTTTTTTTTTTTGAGATGGAGTCTGACTCTGATGCCCGGGCTGGAGATCAGTGGTACGATCTTGGCTCACAGCAACCTCCACCTCTCAGGTTCAAGCAATTCTCATGCCTCAGTCTCCTGAGTAACTGGGATGACAGATGTGCACCACCACACCCGGCTATTTTTTTGTATTTTTAGTGGAGATGGGGTTTCACCATGTTGGCCAGGCTGGTCTGGAACTCCTGTCAAGTGATTCACCCGCCTTAGCCTCCCAAATTGTTGGGATTACAGGCATGAGCCACCACACCCAGCCACATACTTTGTCTTTTACTTAGTAATTGAACTGGCCAGCTGGTCAAAGATTCCTGCCTTTACTATACTTAATTCCAGCTTTTCTTTATTGTATGATCACAGCTATCAGCCTTTCGATTTGATCATTTTCCTGAATTTAAAAAATTAATATTAAATTTGTGGCAATAATAAATATTTACTGAAATAATAAAACAGTTAAATAATGGCACACTTACTGCTGTATTGGTATAACAAAACAGAGCAGTTCAGTGGCTGTATTGGTATAACAAAACAGAGCAGTTCAGTGGCTGTATTGGTATAACAAAACAGAGCGGTTCAAGGAAGCACCACTATGCTGTACCTTGAAGTTTCTAATATACTAATGTATGAAAGCTTGACTTTGGTATTTGGAAAGTGATTTAGAGGAATTAATATATAAAATATGAAGATATTGGTTATATTAAGAGTACAGAACCTACAAAAGCAAGTATCCTGTTCCACAAATTGTCTGTTTTCTCTTTCCCTCAGTAGTGTTGAAAGTTGGAACTATACTTTGTTTCATCCTTATTATGCCATTTTCAAGTAAATTGGTGCTCAGACATTTGAATGAATTAATATGAATGCATTGCTCTAGTGCTATGTATCTGTGGCAAATGTCTACTTTGTTGAGTAGCTGAAGCTATTTTTACCCTGTCCAATCTAAGACACCTTTCAGAAAAGAACTTTGATGATCCAGTAAGAGCAAATAGTGACGAAGGCAACTTAAAACTTGAAGGACCTCTACCAAAATGAGTAGTTTTTAAGTAGTAACCTTTTAAAAAATAATTAGTGGGGCTCTGTCAATTCACTATGCTATGTATACAGGTGTTACTCTGCTTGGGCTACCACAACAAAATGTTGTTTAGCAGAAATTTATTTTCTCGTAGATCAAGGTCTGGTAGGGTCTCTTTCTGGTTGGACTCTGTTTTTCAGGACTTCTTGCTGTGTTCTCATGTGGTGGAGAGAGAGAGCACACAAGGGAGCTTTTTTGTGTTTCTTCTTCCAAGGACAGCAATCCTATCAGAGCAGGGCCACACTCTAATAACTTCATTTATCCTTGATTACTTCCATAGAGTCACACTGAGGGATAGAGCTTCACCGTGGGAATTTTTGAGGGAAACAAATGTTTAATCCGTTTGTTTAACACTGTGTAGCAAACCACCCAAAAGTTACTGGCTTAAAACAACAAACATTTATTTCTCAAACTTTTTTGCATTGGTTAGATGAGTCTTGTAATCTGAGGCTGGCTCAGTTGTGACTGGATATACTAGGGTGGCCTTGGCTGAGATTGTGGCGCCTCCTCCTTCCAGAGCCCAGCCCAGGTTTTTTTACTTGGTGGTCTTAAGGACCCTAGGATCAGGAGAGGGAAAGCCCCATTGCAGAAGTGCTTTTAAAGCTTCTGCTGTGTCATATTTGCTGATGTACCATTAGCCACAGCAAGTCACAAAACCAAGCCCTTATTTAAGGATTGGAAAAATACACCATATTCTTCTTGGAAAGAAGAAGTAAGTCACATTGCAAAGTGGTATGTCTATGGGGATGGGAAGAATTCATGGCTGTATTACAATTTACTTTATTCTGTTTGAATTGAAAAGATTAGGATTTAATAAAAAGGGGGATTTGACTCATCTTGCAAAAAAAGTTCACAGATAGGAACAGTGATCAGATGTGGTTAAATTAACATTCGGGTCCCATCTCTGCAGCGTCTCTGTCCCATCTCTCTGCGGCATCTCTAGCCCTGCCTTTTTTGGGGGGCCTGCTTTATTCTTGCAATGATGATAGTGAGATGATCCACATCTGCACTTAACAGGGCCCAGAGGAAGATAAACCATCTGGTATTTTGATTCTCTTTTAAGCTCCATTAAACAATGGTTTCAGATATTATGTAACAGTGTTAAAAATGAGCATCAATTTTTGCTTTCTTCTTTAGTTTTGTTTCTGTTTGAGACAGGGTTTCATTTTGTTGCCCAGGCCAGAGTGCATTGGCTCGATCTTGGCTCACTGCATGCTCTGCCTTTTAGGTTCCAGTGATTCTCCTGCCTCAGACTCCCTAGTATCTGGGACTACAGGCATGTGCCACCATGCCCGGCTAATTTTTGCATTTTTTAGGTAGAGACAGAGTTTCACCATGTTAGCCATGCTTGTCTGAAACTCCTGACCTCAGGTGATCTACCCGCCTCAGCCTCCCAAAGTGCTGGGATTATAGGCATGAGCCACCATGCCCTGCTGAGTTTTATGTATGTTTAACATGAATCTTTATTTCAAGTCATTATTGTTTCAAATTTGGTTCACTACATCACCTTCTCTGTTTCTTTGTTGCAGATCTATCTCATTCATTAACTAATAGACCTTATTGAAAGGTGCTGAGGGAGAGCTGAACAAGCCAGTCTTTACTTTCACTTTACTTAGAGTCTAAAGAAGGTGACAGACAAGAAAAATCAAAGGTTATGCCAAGTATGCATAAGAGATAATTGGAGAATAAAAAGAAAACACTGGTTTGTGACCAGTCCAGGAAACATGGCAAAACCCTGTCTCTACTAAAAATACAAAAAAATTTGTCAGGTGTGGTGGCGTGTATCCATTGTCCCAGCTACTTGGAAGGCTGAGGTGGGAAGGTCACTTGGGTCTACGAAGTAGAAGTTGCAGGAAGCCAAGATCATTGCACTGCTGCATTCCAGCCTGGGTGACAGAGTAAGAGGCCCTGTCTGAAAAAAAGGAAAGAAAAATAAAACACTGGTAAAAGATTGGTATTTCAACCTGAGAATATGGTCAAGAAATCCACAGCAATATTGTTTGTGCTGATTCCTGGAGAATGAATCATAGTTAGGTTCCTGATAGCAAGAGAGGGAAAACCCCATTGCATAAGTGCTTTTAATGCCTCTGCTGTGACATATTTGCTAATGTACCATTAGCCACAGCAAGTCACATAGCCAAGTCCATATTTAAAGATTGGAAAAATAGACTATACTTCTTCTTGGAAACAGAGGTATAATGGGAAAATGACATTACAATTTGTATAAGCATGAAATAAGGCACACGAGGGAACATTTATTGGTCAGAAATAATATCCTAAGATTTTGAAAAATTTCTCAAAGGTAATAGAGAACTCTCTTACAGGATTTTCAACAAGAATGTAAAATTAGTTGGGTTTGTATTCTAGACAGCTTATTCTGGCTAATGAGTTTGAAGAGGTTGCAGGGAGGAAGCAGAGTTTTTGTTAAGATAGACAAGTTTTGTGTATATTAATATGTTGAAGACAGAGGCTAGTAAAGAGGGAAAGGTTGATCATTCAGTGAAGAGAGAAGACTGATGATGAAGCACTTTTCTAGTGATACAGGGATATTCTGTCTTTTTTGTTAATTAAAAAATTTTTTTCTTTTTTGAGACAGGGTGTGTTGCTCAGGCTAGAGTGCAGTAGCACAATTACAGCTAACTGAAATATTGACCTCCCAGGCTAAAGAGATACTCCCGCCTCAGCTTCCCAAGTAGTTGGGAGTACAGGTGTATGCCACCATGCCCTGCTAATGTTTCTGTAACTTTGGTAGAGATGGGGATCTCACCATGTTGCCTAGCAGGAAAAAAGACTTGATATCTAAGAATGTGGAAAATTCTTAGGCACACAGATAATTACAGGAATTTTTACTTTGCTTGGTTAAAGAGGCAGGGTCGACCAGGTGCAGTGGCTCATGCCTATAATCCCAGCACTTTGGAAGGCTGAGGGTGGATCCCCTGAGGTCAGGAGTTCGAGACCAGCCTGGCCAACATGGGGAAACCCTGTCTCTACTAAAAATACAAACATTAGCCAGTTGTGGTGCTGGGCGTCTTTAATCCCAACTACTCTG